AAGATTTCTCCTTGGGTGTGAAGTGAAGCTGGTAAGCCAGGGTGTGACCTGATCGTAGAGAACCTTCCTAGAGTGGCCTTCAGGAGCTACTGCAGGTTTTTTTTGGTTTGTTTGTGAAACAGAGTCTTGCTCTGTTGCCAGGCTGGAGTGCAGTAGCGTAATCATGGCTCACTGCAGTCTCAACCTCCTGAGCTCAAGCGATCCTCCTGCCTCAGCCTTTTGAGTAGTTGGGACCCCAGGTATGCATGACCACACCTGGCTAATTTTTATTTTTTGTAGAGGCAGAGTCTTGCTATGTGGCCCAGGCTGGCCTCAAACTCCTGGGCTCAAGCAGTCCTCTCCTTCAGCCTCCCAGAGTGCTGGGATTACAGGTGTGAACCATCGTGCCGGGCCTACACAGTTTCACTCTGTACTGCAGGCTGGAGTGCAGTGGCACAATCTCGGCTCATTGCGACCTCCACCTCCTGGATTTAAGCAATTGTCATGCCTTAGCCTCCCTAGCAGCAGCTGGGATTACAAGCACTTGCCGCCACGCCCGGCTATTTTTTTTTTTTTTTTTTTTTTTTTTTTTGAGAGAGAGTCTTGCCCTGTTGCCTATGCTGGAGTACAGTGGTGTGATCTCGGCTCACTGCAACCTCCGCCTCCTGGGTTCAAATGATTCTCCTGCCTCAGTCTCCCAAGTAGCTGAGATTACAGGCGCCCACCACCACACCCAGCTAATTTTTGTATTTTTAGTAGAGACGGGGTCTTGCCATGTTGACCATGGCTAGTCCGAACTCCTGGCCTCAAGTGATTCACCTGCCTCAACCTCCTAAAGTGCTGGCATGAAAGGCATGAGCCACCGCACCCGGCCTTATTGGAGGCTTTTGAGCAGAGGAGTTAGGGCTGAGCTTTAGGTAGTAAAGGGAAAGAACAGGAACTTGTCCCACTGAATATCTGCCATAGGCCAGGCCCAGGGCTAGGGCCTTTATATTTGGGTTATTTCTAATTTAATCCTCATGGCAACCCTACTAGGTAGACTCACTGTCCCTCCCTCCCTCCCTTCCTTCCTTCCTTCATTTCTCTTTTGTTGCCCAGGCTGGAGTGCAGTGGCACGATCTCAGCTCACTGCAACCTCCGCCTCCAGAGTTCAATTCTCCTGCCTCAGCCTCCCGAGTAGCTGGGACTACAGGTGCATACCACCACGCCCAGCTAATTTTTAGTATTTTTAGTAGAAATTGGGTTTCATGCCGGGCGCGGTGGCTCAAGCCTGTAATCCCAGCACTTTGGGAGGCTGAGGCGGGTGGATCACGAGGTCAAGAGATCGAGACCATCCTGGTCAACATGTTGAAACCCCGTCTCTACTAAAAATACAAAAAAATTAGCTGGGCATGGTGGCGTGTGCCTGTAATCCCAGCTACTCAGGAGGCTGAGGCAGGAGAATTGCCTGAACCCAGGAGGCGGAGGTTGCGGTGAGCCGAGATCGCGCCATTGCACTCCAGCCTGGGTAACAAGAGCGAAACTCCGTCTCAAAAAAAAAAAAGAAATTGGGTTTCACTGTGTTAGCCAGGATGGTCTTGATCTCCTGACCTCGTGATCTGCCCGCCTTGGCCCCGCAAAATGCTTGGATTATAGGCATGAGCCACCACGCCTGGCTTCATTTTTCATATCTGAGAAAACCTTGACTCAGAAGGTAAAGAAAATTGCCCTAGCTCACACAGCCAGTAAATGACAGAACTGGGATTCAAGCCAGGTCTGGCCCCCCAGTCTGTGGCTTTTGATGCTATCAGCCCACCTTGTCTAATGGAAAGAGCTGAGGACCAGGAAGGGGGTCAACGCTCTGGCTTGAGCTAAGAGTCCCACCTGGGCTGGGGCTGAGCTCCCTACTCCCAGGTGGTCAGGGTAGATCCCTGGGAATTAACGTCTGACCCCTGAAGGATGAGGAGAGGTTGTCATGAAAAGATCTGGGAAAGAGCATCTGGCAGAAGGAACAGCCAGTGCAAAGGCCCTGGGGCAGGAGGGAGCTTAGAGTGAGGAACAGCAGGGAGGCTGGTGTGGCTGGAGCTTTTTGAGCGAGTAGGGAGGGAAAGTTGAGGGGAGAAGCAGAGGCTAGCAGGGGGCTACGTCAGACCGTGAAGGGCCTTGTGGGGCCTAGGGAGGAGTTTGGATTTTATTCTAAGAGGAGTGGGAAGCCCTGCAGGGCTTTAAATGGGAGTGATGCAGCTGGAATCCCAGTTGGGAAGGATGGTCCGAAGGGAGCACCAGAGCGACGTTAGGGGCATATTGCGGGGCCATTACTGTTTTGTGTGGGGTATCTGGGGGCAGTTGGACGTTGGGGTCTGAAGGTCAAAAGCAAGGTGTTGGGCTCGGCACGGTGGCTCACACGCCTGTAATCTTACCACGTTGGGAAGGCAAGGCGGGCGGATCACCTGAGATCAGGAGTTAGAGACGAGCCCAGCCAAAATGTGAAACCCGGTCTCCACTAAAATACAAACATTAGCCAGGTGTGGTGGGGAGTGCCTGTGATCCCAGCTACTTGGGAGGCTGAGGCGGGAGAATCGCTTGAACCTGGGAGGCAGAGGTGGCGGTAAGTGGAGATCTCACCATTGTACTCCGGCCTGGGCAACAAGAGTGAAACTCGTTTTGACAACAAACAGGTAAAACTTTGGGCTAAAAAATGAAAAAGGGGGAAAAAAAAAAAAAAGAGTGAAACTCCGTCTCAAAAACAAAAACAAAAAAAAAACACCCCAGGGTGTTGGCTTGAGCTGAAGAGGGGAAAGCCGCTGGTATAGAGGCAGACACCGGAGCTGGGAGGGACTGGATTCGTCCCGCACTTGTGTTTCGGGTAGGAGAGGAGATAGGTCAGGGTGGGCAGAGGGCACCCCTGTCTTGAACACAGGCCTGTGGCATGGGAGTGGCAGAGGAATAAAAGCCTCAGTGGCCACCTTCCCGCCCACTTACTTCCTCCTGCCACCTCTCCCTGCCCTACCCGTGCTCCCGTCCCTGCCCAGCCTGCCCTTGGGACTCCCTGACCCTCCCCTGGGCTGTCAGATCGTCCCCAGGTTCAGTGTGTTAGGACATACAAGGCACTGCAGCCAGATGAGCTGACCTTGGAGAAGACTGACATCCTGGCAGTGAGGACCTGGACCAGTGACGGTGAGACGTCTCCTGGGAAAGTCTCCCTGATGGGGCTTGGGTGGGCAGGAGACAGCTAGACGGCTAAGACATCACAGGGAAGGGTTATGCAAGTGTTGATCTGCCACAGCATGTGGGAATCAGGTTAGACAAGAGGAGGAACTTCCTGCTTGTAAAGATATAAGATTGAGAACGATGGGGGAGAGTGGGAAAGACCCTTTTAGAGGATATCAGGATAAACAGGTCAGAAGTTCATCTACAAGACAGCTAGAGACAGGGTCCTTCCTGGAGCAAGGAGATGCTGAGATGATGTCACTTTGGCCCCAAGGGTGTAGACAAAGCTTGCATCAGGGCTGAGGTATTTCCTTCCAGGCCCGGCTCTGGTACCCCTTTGATGAAGTTGTTCTTGGCCTGTGTGTCCCTAGGTTGGCTGGAAGGGGTCCGCCTGGCAGATGGTGAGAAGGGGTGGGTGCCCCAGGCCTATGTGGAAGAGATCAGCAGCCTCAGCGCCCGCCTCCGAAACCTCCGCGAGAATAAGCGAGTCACGAGTGCCACCAGCAAACTGGGGGAGGCCCCTGTGTGAGGGGCAGCCATGGCCTGGGACCCCACCTCCATGCCCAGCTCCTGGATGGTCCTGGAGGGGCCTGCGGTGTCTCCACTGCTCCCCAAGCTGCTGCTGCTGGCACTTCGCTTCTGTGGCCTTGACATTGAGGGCACAGGCTGGACACAGGAATGGGGGTGCCTCCAGAGGGTCTCTGTCCTCATGCTCCTCAGTGTCCACACTTCAAGGCCAAGGGCAGTTTCTTCCTCCGACATGGGGACCATAACAGGGGATCACTGATACCTGGCAGGGACTGCGGCCCTCTCCATTCTGCACGCTCAATCCTGCCTGACTCTTGGTCCTTCCCCAGGCAGGGACCTGGCTGGGGAGCGTCCTGGTGCTGGTGGTGCTGGGACCTATATATATTTATGTATATCTGGGGTCTTGTCTACCACCTCCCCTAGCCAGAGGCCGAGTGGGTGCTGGTTGCTGTGTCTTGTCTGTAAATAAACTCTCATGCCTTTGCTTGGAGTCTGTGATCCATCTGATGCTGTCCCATCCTGGCAGTCCTGTTTCCCCAGCTAAACATCAGGAGAGTTGAGGACCAGAAAGGGGTCGGCACTCTGGCTACGAGCTGGCTCCAAACTGGGGCTTTGCCTTGCTCTGGAGTTGGCCTCTGAGCTGTAAGACGGTGACCAGGGGCAGGAGGACGACTGTGTATCAGCTAGGCTGCTTTCGGCTGCAAGTAACAAAATGTCAGATAGGAACAGGCTTAAACATTAACGAGATTTGATTAAGTTCATTAAAGAGATTTGATTAGTTCTTGTATTTGTTTCCTGTGGCTTCTATAACAAAATGATCACAAACGGAGTGACTTAAAACAATATTTTCTTCTCTCACAGTTCTGGAGGCCAGGAGTCCAAAATCAGCAGCACTGGGCCCACACCCGGGGGCTCTGCCCCGTCCCGGGGGTCTGGGGGAGAATGGCGCCTTGCCTCTTCCCACTGCTGGTGGCTGCAGCGTTCCTTGACTTGAAGCCCTGTCACTCTGGTCTCTGCCTCCGTGGGCACATTGCCGTTTATTTATTTATTTTTGTTTTGTTTGCACTTTGCCTTCTCTGTGTGCCTGTGTCAAATTTCCCTCTGCCTCCCTCCGACAAACAAGTGATTGCATTTGGGCCCGCCCTGATGATCTCCCCATCTCATAATCCGTCATTTAAAGCACATCTGCAAAAACCCTCTACCCCCCTCCACTTTTTGGTCATTCACAGGTTCCAAGGACTAGAGCATGGCTATCTTTTGGAGGCCATTTTCAGCCAGGCTGGAGTGCAGTGGAGCAATCTCGGCTCACTGTAACCTCTGCCTCCCGGGTTCAAGTGATTCTTGTGCCTCGGCCACCTGAGTAGCTGGGATTACAGGTGTCTGCCACCATGCCTAGCTGATTTTTATATTTTTAGTAGAGATGGGGTTTCACCATGTTGACCAGGCTGGTCTCAAACTCCTGGCCTCAAGTGATCCACCTGCCTCAGCCCCCCAAAGTTCTGGGATTATAGATGTGGACCACCATGCCTGGCCTTGAATTTTTAAAAAGAATTTTACTTATTTATTTATTTCAGATGGAGTTTTGCTCTTGTCACCTAGGCTGGAGTACGATGGTGCGATCTTGGCTCATCCCAAACCTCTGCCTCCTAGGTTTAAGTGATTCTCCTGCCTCAGCCTCCCAAGGGGCTGAGATTACAAGCATGCGCCACCACGCCCAGCTAATTTTTTGTATTTTTGGTAGAGGTGGGGTTTCACCATGTTGCCCAGGCTGGTCTCAAACTCCTGACCTCAGGTGATCCACCCGTCTTGCCATCCGAAAGGGCTGGATTATAGGCATGAGCCACCACACCTGGCCAATTTTTTTTCTTTTTTGAGATGGTCTTCCTCTGTCACCCAAGCTGGAGTGCAGTGGTGCAATCTCAGCTCACTGCAACCTCTGCCTCCCGGGTTCAAGTGATCCTCCTGCTTCAGCCTCCCAAGTAGCTGGTATTACAGGCGCGTGCTACCGTACCTGGTTAATTTTTGTATTTTTAGTAGAGATGGAGTTTTACCATGTTAGCCAGGCTGGTCTCAAACTCTTGACCTCAGGTGATCCGCCCACCTCGGCCTCCCAAAGTGTTGGGATTACAGGCATGAGCCACCGTGCCCAGGTCCAGCCTAGAATTTGAATTCTGCTTCTGACATCTATGCCCCATGTGATTTTTAAAAATGAGCTTTTTGTTTTGGAATACTTTCAGGTTTATACAACAATTGCAACAATAGTACAGAAAGCTCCATCGACTCCTTTAACAACGTCCCCCATTAGTGTCTTTCGTGACTACGATACAGTAGTCAAAAGTAAGAAACCAACACGTTGCTATTAACTGAATTCCAGACTTGATTCGGTTTTCACCAGCTTTCCCACGAATGTCTTCCGTTCCAGGATCCAATCCAGGATCCTACTTTGCGTTCAGTTGCCGCGTCTTACTCTTCACCGGTCTGTGACAGTTTCTCAGTGTTTCCTTGGTTTTCATGACCTTGACAATTTGGGAAGTTCTAGTCTGTAGACTAGCCCTCAATTTGGGTATATCTGATGTTTTCCTCATGACTAGCCAGGAGTTATGGGTTTGGGGGAAGAATACCACAGAGGTAAATAAAATGCACTTCTCATCACGTGATGCCAGGAGGCACACAACGTCCCCGTGACTCATCTCTGGCAATGCCAGCCTTGGTGACTCGGTGAAGGTGGTGTCTGCCAGGTTTTCCTTTTTTCTTTTTTTTTTTTTTTGAGACGGAGTTTCGCTCTTGTTACCCAGGCTGGAGTGCAATGGCGCGATCTCGGCTCACCGCAACCTCCGCCTCCTGGGCTCAGGCAATTCTCCTGCCTCAGCCTCCTGAGTAGCTGGGATTACAGGCATGAGCCACCACGCCCAGCTAATTTTTTGTATTTTTAGTAGAGACGGGGTTTCACCATGTTGACCAGGATGGTCTCGATCTCTCGACCTCGTGATCCACCCGCTTCGGCCTCCCAAAGTGCTGGGATTACAGGCTTGAGCCACCGCGCCCGGCCTCAGGTTTTCCTCTTATGAAGTTCTCTTTTTCCTCTTCCTTTCTTCTTTCTTTTCCTTCCTTCCTTCCTCCCTCTTTCCTTCTTTCTTTTTCTCTTTCTTTCTTCTTTTCTTTTTCCACTTCCTCCCTCGTTTTCTCCCTCTCTTTCTCTTGCTTTCTTTTTGAGACAGGGTCTGGCTCAGTTGCCTAGGCCGGCGTCCAGTGGTAAAATCATGGCTCACTACAACCTCCACCTCCCAGCCGAAAGCCATCCTCCCACCTCAGCCTCCCGAGCTCGAGTAGCTGGGACCAGAGGCACATGTCACACACGTGGCTAAATTTTTTTTTTTTTTTGTAGAGGTGGGGTTTTGCCATGTTCCCCAGGCTCACCTTGAACTCCTGGGCTAAAGCGATCTGCCTGCCTTGGCTTCCAAAGTGATGGGTTTACACGTGTGAGCCAATTTTTTAATTTTTATTTTTCGTAGAGAAGAGGTCTCGTTATGTTGCCCCTGCTGGTCTTGAACTCCTGGTCTCAAACAATTCACCCTCCTCAGCCTGGCCCAGGTGTGGTGGCTCATGCATGTAATCCCAGCACTGTGGGAGGTTGAGGCAGGCAGATCACCTGTGTCAGCCTGGGTGACACAGCGAGACGCTGTCTGGAAAAAAAAATCGAAGTGCTGGGTTTTCAGGCATAAACCACTGAGCCACTGTGCTTGGCCAACTCTTTAATTTTTATTTATTGTGGAGACGGGGTCTCACTGTGTTGCCCAGTGGTCTTGAACTCCTGGCTCAAACGATCCACTCACCTCAGCTTCCCATGAAGTTGAGGTGAGCCACCATGCCCGCTCCCTTTTCCAACTGTTCTTTGGAAACAAGTTGAGCCCACATTCAAGTTGTGGAGGATATACTGGGTATACCTACGTTGGTTATTGGGAATTCTTCTGTAAGGAAGATTTGTTCTTTTCCTCCCATTTATTTGGCTCGTCATTTACAGTCATGCATTGCTTAACCGTGGAGACATTCAGAGAAATGTTAGCAATTTGGTCATGGTCAGACCGTCGTAGAGTGCAGTCACATGTGCCTAGATGGAGGAGCCTACGGCTCCTGGGCTACAGATTTGTAACCTGTGCTGAATGTTGCCGTACTGAACACTGTAGGCACGTTACTGTGCTGTGACACAGATCACCAGACAATAGGAATTCTTCAGCTCCGTTGCAACCTTATGGGACCACTGTCATCTATGGGGTCCATTGTTGACCAGCAATGTAGAATGCTGCTGTGCAGACATGACTGCATTTCTACAGCGCCGACCTGTGCATTTATTATGTTATACTTTGGGTTATAATCTAGTACTATGTTTTTTGTTTTTTTTTGAGACAAAGCCTTGCTCTGTTGCACAGGCTGGCGTGCGATGGTGCCATCTTGACTCACTGCAATCTCCACTTTCTGGGTTCAAGCAATTCTCCTGCTTCAGCCTCCCAAGTAGCTCGGACTTAAACAGGCATGTGCCACCATGCCCGGCTAATTTTTGTGTTTTTAGTAGAGATGGGGTTTCACCATGTTGGTCAGGCTGATCTTGAACTCCTGACCTCAGGTGATCCACCCTCCTTGCCTCCCAAAGCGCTGGGATTATAGGCGTGAGCCACCGTGCCCGGCCAGTACTGTTAATTTAATTTAATTTGAGATGGAATCTCACTCTGTTGCCCAGGCTGGAGTGCAGTGGCGCCATCTCAGCTCACTGCAACCTCTGCCTCCCAGGTTCAAGTGATTCTCCTGCGTTAGACCCTCTAGTAGCTGAGATTACAGGCATGTGCCACCATTCCTGGCTAATTTTTGTATTTTTAGTAGAGATGAAATTTCACCATGTTGCCCAGGCTGGTCTCGAACTCCTGACCTCAGGCAATCCTCCCACCTCTACCTCCCAAAGTGCTGGGATCACAGGAGTGAGCCACCCGGCCCAGACTGTTATTTTATTTTTCAGATGGTTCCAGCTGTGGCCACTAGGAGCTCTTTCAGTTGACCTCCTGTGTCTGTTTGACATGCCCCCGTCTTTCTGTTTTGTGAGCATTTTGTGCTGCAACATGCTATGGAACTATCTTGTATATTTTTCCTGCCTCAGTGCTCCAAGGAGTGTGATCCTTTTATTTTGGAGACTGGGTGTGCTTATTGCTGCTGAGTCGTCACTGCTTCTAGGCCCTCTCATCAAACGCAGGTGGGAAATAATATATATATGTAGGCCAGGCACTGTGGCTCATGCCTGTAATCTCGGCACTCTGGGAGGCTGAGACGGATGGATCACGAGGTCAGGAGTTCGAGACCAGGACTGACCAATATGGTGAAACCCCATTTCTACTAAAAATACAAAAATTAGCTTGGCATGGTGGCACGTGCCTGTAATCCCAGTTACTCAGGAGACTGAGGCAGGAGAATCAGTTGAACCTTAGAGGCAGAGGTTGCAGTGAC